AGCAGTTGACACTCTCAAAGATCTAACAGCTTCTAGGTTCGAGCAAAAGTGTGCCATTACATTACCAAGTGTAAAGCGCGTTACTAGCTGTGTTATGATTTTGCAGATGATGCAGTAGCGTATGATTTTTACGACATGCAGCAGCACCGCAATGAGATTGCTGGCAACGTGCGACGTGAGCCGAAAACTGCAACGATCGGCATTGATGATGAGGCACGATGCGATTGGGATTCACCATCCAGCTTTGTTGAACTCAACAATTCCATTGTGCATCTTCAACCTGATTGTTTCATTTTGAAGTTTCAAAATACTGACTTTACAATTTGAAGCTCTTGAGAGATATGAGGCTGACTAACGTTCTTCGTAGAGCTCCCAAAACACAAGCTGATGTACTTGCTCAACACCAAGAAATATAAATTTCTGTGAAAGCACTTCTGTGTTTTCACAGAAATTTACACATTGTTGGAGAAGTACTGGATTTTTATTAACTGGGGAGTAAAAACAAATATGATCGAATTTTGCGCGTGGAGGTTATCTGTGAAACAAAAATGACTTTGATAACTTTTGAACATTGTTGATAGATGCAGCATATGTCCGAATGCTTTTCAAATTAAATTTTGGGCCACCGGGGACTTTTTATCCAATGGCATTTGTTTTTAACTGGCAGAAAGTGTAAAAATTTTTGCCGATTGCAAGACCTGTTCAGCAACAATCTTGTTGTTAGACATCTGAGAAATAATTGCATATATCCCAGGATTTATTTTGGCATGCCGCTAACATCATAATTATGGTTGCCGCAGAATACAGCAAGGGGTTTCCAATTAAATTATTTTTTGAAGATTTTGAAAAGCGCCGTAAAGACAGTCATTCTTCTTGAAGTGTCCTTTATTTTAGCCAGGACCAAACACTGAGACATCCAACTTCTGTTTTTAACACTGGAAAATTCAATTCTACGGCCATTCTTTTGAAAAGTTAATCTGATTTCAGTCACTAGAGTCGCGAGTATACGACGCAGGGCTGTTGCTTATGAAGACTATGCAGCTTCGTGCTTCAGGTCTAATTCGCGATCGTCGTGGGCATTTACAGGTAAAAAATAATTTTATAAAATTTTTAAGAAACTTGGTGCTGTAATACTAGTAAATCGTGATTAATTACGATTTTTATTATTCGTTTTTGCTTTGCAGTGCTTTAGCGCTCCTACAGCCAGCAAAAACGCATATTGTCGAGAGGCTGTCTGTGTGTGTGT